CATTAAGAATCAGTCTATTGTACTAATTAGTGGACGATTATTCCATAGTATTTTCATAATAAGGTCAGAACTAGATATTGTCTATTTACATTTTTGTAATTACTCATACTATATACATTCATGCATGCCACTAATGTATGAGTATTAATCAGGATTTATAATCTATACACTTTGTTAACTTGACCGTTTTGGACCATTTTGAACCATTTTGAACCATTTTGGACTCCCACTATCTGGTGATCAAAGACAGTTTCAACTTGAAAACAAATTTTCAAAAAATTATTTTATTTTATTTGTTAACTGAAGCATATAATTAAGTAATTAAATTAAAATGCCTGTTCATTGTGAATTTTTCGCGACAGGTGGTTTCAGTCTACATAAAGAAATCACTCACTCATTCAACTTTGTATCTTTTATGTTGGCTTAAATGTCATATCAAACATTGAAATATTCAACGCTTTCAAGTTGTTTTTTTCACTTTTTTCAATTTATATTTAAAAAATTCGTTGACATTTCAGTATATACTCTATTTATTTGCTATTTTTATTCCCTACTATATTATAAAAATAAATTCGCAAAAAGTGAGTGCCTTTAAAATAATTTTCCACATTTTACGATCGTGGGAAAATGCTGCATGAAAATTCAAGGCATATGACGCGTTTCTGCTATTTTTAATTAATACAATTAAAATTCTATTTTAATTTTAAAATCTGTTTTATTATTATCTTAATATTCTTGTGAACATATTAAATAGAGAAATTTATTATAGTGTAAGAGAAAAAAATCTTTTCTATATGACAAATGAGCAACACTTAGAAACCGATTAAAATTTAGTTTTTACATTAAAATTCCGATAAAACAAATTATGATTAATTTAATAATACATAAATTTTTTTATATTTATAATTTAATATTTTATTTTTATGATTAATACATACAAATATTTTTTTTGTATTTATAGCTGTGTTTGCTGTGACTATAAGTGCTGAACCACCTAAAGGATTTGTAAGAGAAGTTTGTAAATATCGCAAAGGCAAAGTGGTTAGAAAATATCTACACATAATTATTTATCTATTCATATCAATCTAATTAAAAAACAAATATTTAATTTTTTATAGATACAACCTGTTAGCGAATTTCGTCGTCGCTTGCATTCCATACGTGAGCAAATGAAAATTCGCGCTTCATTGCAAGGACCTGAAATCGACGCATATATACTGCCATCTTACGATGATCATTTGAATCAAGAAGTAGCAGCACATGAGAGACGTTTACAGTATCTGACTGGTTTTACTGGTATTAAAGCTTTTGCTGCTATCACACACAAAGGCGCTGCGCTTTGGTTGGAAGATCGTTATGTGCAACAAGCTGATGGCGAGTTGGATTGTGAGTGGGATATATATCGCATGAATGATACCACAACCATAGCAATTTGGTTAGATGTAAATAAGACATTATTTGAATAACATAATTTAAATAATAACTGAAATTTTTATTAGTATTACTTATATCCGGATCAACGTGTAGGTGCAGATCCTCATTTGGTGCCACATCACCTGTGGTTAAAATGGGAAAGAGAACTGAAAGATAAGTTCTTGGAGCTGACAAAAATTAACAACAATCTAGTAGATCTTATTTGGGGATCTGAGCGCCCGTCACCTATTACAATGCAAATCACAGTACAGGAGCGCTTATATGCCGGTGATAGATGGGAAGATAAAGTTTCGGAATTAAGAAGACAATTGGAAAGTCATAAGTGCGATGCTATGGTTGTAACGTCATTAACAGAAATCGCTTATTTATTAAATATACGTGGCAGAGATATACCTTACACACCTGTCGTAAAGGTATGTAGTTTTTACAGTTCATGAAATTGTTTTTTAATATATTCCACTATATAGTCCTATCTGATTGTAAGTAAACACGATATATTTTTCTATGTCGATCGTCATAAATTTAATTTGGGCATTGATTTGCATCTACATACCGACTGTTTTAATGATAAATGCGTACAGTAAGTTCAACACAAATTTAATAATAATTTTAAATGAATAATTTATTTTTATTATATAGAGTAAAAGATTATTATCAAGTTTGGAATGATATACGCACATATTCGCAGATATGGAAACGTGTGTTAGTCCCAGCGCCTTGTGTACAGGATTTAGGCGCTTCAGAGGCTGTATTTTCATCAATGCCTTTGCATATTGTTTATGAACATATATCCCCTATAATATTTATGCGTGCACAGAAAAACTCGGAAGAACAGCGTGGTATGCATCAGGCACACGTCAAGGACGGCGCTGCTATTTGTGAGGCTATGAGTAATTTAGAAATGCGAGTAAGTAATTTATTGACTATTTCTATAATTATATTTATAGATTTAACGATCTTCTTAGTTTTTTACTGAACAATGGTCCGAAGAAAAGATAAAATACGAAATCGAACGTTCACGCTTATCGCAAACACATTCAAAGGGTCTGTCGATGCGCACTGTTATAGCATTTGGAGAACATGCCTCATATCCATATTATATATCAAGCAATATCACAGATATTGAAGTGACCGATCAAAGTATGTTAGTCATTGAATCTGGCGGTCAATATTTTGAAGGCACTACAGATGTGGCAAGAACTTTTATATTTGGTGAGCCCAATGCTGAAATGAAGCGAGCATACACAAATGTATTGGCAGGAATATTACGCTTGTCACAGCTTAAATTTCCATCGAATATAAAATATGCTGAAGTTGATACATTGGTTAGAAGTCCAGTTTGGGATTCGATGATTGATTATCCACAAGCGACAGGACACGGTATTGGCGCATATGGTGCAGTAGAAGAACGTAAGTTGAGTCTTTATTACTATAGGCAGTACATGTTACATAGGCCGCTTTTTTACAGCACCAATAGCTGTGGCTTATGGTATGGATAATCCATTTCATTTCAAGGAAGGCTATTTCTTCTCAAGTGGTGAGTTACAGTAAATGCAATTTTTTTAAATATTACTGTTATTTGCAATATTAACTAGAAAAGTGTTAGTTCTAACAAAATAGCTTATAAATTGAAACATTCCTTTTTGTTGAAGAGTCTGTTATTAGTTTCTATTTGCTCACATTTTTATGGCTCATAGTTATAGTGGTAGTATAGTATACTATAATATATAAATTATTAAAAATGGAAAATTGTTTTAATTTTTAGAATCCGGTTATTTTAAACGAGGAGAATATGGTGTTCGTATTAAAAATGTACTAGAAGTCTTAGACACGAAGCGTGTACATCCTTCAGGAGCAAAATTTTTACAGTTCAATGATGTCACACTTGTGCCTTATGAATCAAAATTAATTGACGGTACATTATTGAGTGCGTTAGAGGTAAGTGTCTGATTTTGTTCCTTGTATTCTACATATATATGTATATATTTTTTTATTTTTATTAGAAACGTTGGCTTAATGAATATAATTCAAAAATACGGAAGTATGTGGGTAGTGAATTGAAACGACAAGGTAATATGCTAGCCTTCTATTGGATGATGAACAAGACGCGACATGTACGTGAATATCTTCCCGAAGATGAATATAGAGCAGCAACTGGAGCTGGTGCAAGAACACGTAGCTTTTTAACTATTACGGTGCCTGCATTATTATTGGGCTTAACTGTTTTTGGAAGTTTTCTTCGTTGGTTACTTTGATTAAGTTTTTTATTAATTTCACAAGTAGTTAGTTTAAATGTATAACTAATATATATAATAAATGAATAATGCACAATTATAATAAAAGAAATAAATAAAATTAATAATTAAATTAATCAAAAAATTAATTATATGAAATACTAACAAAGTACTTGTTAAAAGGAGCCAAATTAATAAATTATATTTATATTTAGTGTAGTTAATTTATATCAAATATAAATTTAGTATATGTGATGTTGTGTGTGAATACATAAAATATTATAATTACTGTAGTTAATATTATTAATTAAGTTTACTTTTAAACATTTTTATTTAAGTAAACCAAGTAAATATGCACTGTGAAATAATTTTTAAATTGTTCAAATAAAAACAATATAGTTTTATATAATATACATTGAAACTATAATAAATGGCCTTAAATATTTAAGAGAAAAGTATTTTTATTTCTTTTAAAAATAATAAATAATAAGTGTGCTGAATATGTGCATAATGTTGAGAACTACAGTAGGAACTTATATCATAAGTACAGACTCAATTGTTCCAGAGATTATTATATATAGTGGTGCAGTACAAATTAAGCATCAAAACACTTATTAACCAACAGAACTCTATAAATCAGTGGAGGGGACTTATCTTTAGTTAGCAGTACGATTTCTCCAAAACTAATTGTTGACTAAATAATTTTTAGAATTTTAAACAATATGTATTAAATTTTTTTACTATAACTCACATTATCAAAAGTTTCAGTTTCGAAAGGTTTTATATTTTAATATTAATAAAAAAAAAATTTAATGTACTGATATATGTACTTAGTTATATGAAATAAAACATGAAAATATTTTTTATTACAAATGAAATAAAAGTACCTAAATAATATTTGACTACTTTCAAAAGTAATATTTAAAAAAAATTTGGATATACTTTACATATATGAATATAAAAAAATTTATTACTTATAAACGCAAAATATTTATATGGAATATATGCAAGACCTTATCTAGAGCGCTGGCTTTTAATAGGCATATATCAATTCGTACAATGCCATAATGTTTCAATGAATCATAAATGAGTACTTGATTAAGGTAAATTTTCTAGGAAATTGATTTTATTTTATCAATATTGCATAAAATGTATATTTGGTAAATATTAAATATAATTTTAAGAACAAAGATATTTTTGGTATAAAAGAGCCAGAAAAAATATAATGAGGTACACTAAATATAAAATCAATAAAGCAAACAGCTAAATTATACAAAAAACAATATTTATTATATTAAATAATACAAATTTAACTTAAAAACAAATTTAAAATATTTAAAAATTATTTAAATAAATTTAAAAAATTTTTTTTAAAATACAACCATGGCTTCAATGAAGTTTTTGTTGTTAGCAGCTATTGCAGTGTTGGCTATAAGCACAATAAATGCACATACGACAGAGGGAACGACTACTAAAGCCTCACACGTTGAAGGCTTGGAGATGCAAGTTCAGGTTTTAGAGAAAAGTACAAAATCTGTAGATGGATTATATCACTATATTTGCACAGCAGGTGAAAAGAAATCAGGTAAGTTAACCAATAATATACAATTATTTACAAGAATATATTGGCAATAAAATTTTATTGAAGGACATTTAATGTGTACTGCAAAGGATCAAATGGAATGGAGAGATCCTCATGATGTTGAAGTAAAGTTACGTTGTCCGAAATCTGGCACTGGTTTGCAAGTGGAATATATTCAAATTGATACTTGGTTGACATCTGAATATTTTAACTGTGATATAACAGCTGGTGGTATATATTATGGTTTTGTAGAATTGCTTCTTAGAGGTAGAAATACTATGTCTTTCCAATATATTGCAGAAATATATTCAGTCTAGAAGCAATTTATTTATGTTCACTAATATCTTATTAAATTTAAAATATTGTTATTAAAATTAATCAATAAATTATATTAAAAGCATATGTTTATTAAAATACCAAAGGCGTTATTAATTATTTATGCGGACATATGGATAATTGTAGAGACCAAGCAACGGTTGGATTAATCAAATAATTATTTATTTTAAATAATTCAGAATTTTTTATACATTGTCATATATAGCTGAAATAGAACTGAAGCACCAGTTAATTATTTATGTTTTATATCATTTATTGTTTCGTAAAGACCTAAATTTAATACCAGATATACCCTTTATAAGGATATATGCTTTGATCGAAATTTTATTTGAAAAGAACTGTGCTAATCGTAAATGGGTAATTGGTTGGATCATTTATACATTGTGTCATCAATCTTCTTCTCTCAATCCAATCCAATGTTGCCATATGATTAACAAAGTTGGAGAAGTGTGATTTAATTCATCAAGTGAAATTTTTTAAAATTTAAAAGCCATCCATCTGTTATGAATCATAGCATATAGAGTTTTCCAAGAACTTTCTAATAAAAATTTATTTAAAAGAATAAAATTTGAATAAAATTATAATATATTACATTCAAATCAAATTCTTCAGAAATTATTCGATTTACCTGAAAAATCTTTTAAAAGTGAATTATTAAAGTCAAATGATAAATTAAAATTTCATATTTCATTATAAACTCAAATTTCTTAGTGAAGATTTTTAAAAAGTACTGTTTATCTCACTAACAAATTTCAATATTTTACAAATTCCAAATATGGAGAGAAAAATCACTGATTATGGAAAGCCGGAGTTTAATTTTGTTATTGAGAAAAATATTCCACTAAGCGATGACGTCACATCTATGGCTTTCTCTGATAACGGCATGGTGGCCGCTTGTTCTACAAAATCGAATATAAACGTATTTGATGCCGTCTCAAATGAGATTGCAAGTGTTGTACCCTGTAAGAATGGTGCAACGAACTTGGAATTCAATCATACTTACCATCGTATGTTTTTTAATAGTATGAGGTCACCAAATATCATTCAATTGCTGGATTATGCTACTGAAAAATGCTATAATGTGTTTATTGACGTTAAATCAGATGTGCGTTCAATATCGATGCACCCAGGAGCAAATACTATACTAACATCGAATCAGGATAAAACGTTAAAACTCTGGGATGAACGAAGTACAACTGAAATTGGTTGCGCAAAAATCTGTGCACCTGGTATTGCAACATATCATCCAGATGGCATCGCAGTAATGGCAGCAAATGATAGAGGTCTTTTTGTATATGATACACGCAATTTTTCTTATGGTTCTCTATTGGCGTATATACCAGCGCGACCATTTGATACGCTTCGATGTATTAGAATTTCACCGAATGGTGAATTGGTGGCTTTACTTGATGGAGATGTGGTAGAAACTTTATACACCAAAGAAATAACACCATTAAATAAATACATTGGATTCTCAACGGATAGAAATCTACCTTTGGATTTATGTTTTAATGTGGACTCTTCTTTGTTTTTTTTAGGTACTACTAATAACAAATTGAGTTTGTGGGATTCTCATAAAACAGAATGCTTGTGCGAAATCTCTTGTGATATTGAAAATAAAACTATGCAATGCTTGGAACTTAATCCGGAATTTATGCAATTGTGCTCGGCTGCAGGAAATAATGTCACCTTCTGGCAATTATCTGAGGATTATGTTAACATATTTTGGTCCAGTTATAGATCGGTGGTCTCGCATAGCTTAAGCTTACCAATTTCGGATGACGCAGAGAACGATGATAATCCAGGAGAATCAGTGTCTGAAGGTGCATCTGCAAGTCAAGGAGAATTTTTCGATTCAACTGAAGCAAATGAATCTTTGGCAACCCCCTCTGTAGATCTAGATTCAGATGCTGATATTGGTCAGTCAAGCGGACATACAGAATACACTGAACCAAAAAGTACTGATAGAAACATAATTGAAATTCCAGAATTAAGTGATTTTTCTGAAGCAACTGAATTGGACTCTGAATAATATCAATGCCAATAATATCAATATCAATATTCTATATTTCTACATCATTTGTCATGAAAAGATTGTTAAATATAATTTACAGACACTGCTAATTAAATAAATTTAAAATTATGAAGTAAAAAATTTATATCCCTAATTTTTATTGACTTAAGTCTTTGATACTTATAGTCTTTTAAGAAACTTGAGTCTCTGTTCTAAGATAGATTGCACAGATTTTAATAAGACATCTGATTAAGACTTTGTCACAATTCGCATTTCGTTCTAATAGAACTTCAAGTGCAGACTTGAGTAAATTAATCAAATATTTGATTTTTTTAAACTTTTTTTTTGAATGAAAAAAGAAGTATATCTATATTCTATTGTTATCAATTAAATAGGTTTTGCTCTTATTTTGATTCCTTTCACTATTGTATAATATTGATTACCTGAACTTTTCATTTACAAACATATATAGTATTGGTTTTCGATTGCATATATATGGCTATGAATTCTTAACATTTTGGTAGTCAGTTTGTCAATTTGTCTCTCAGGATATTGTGATATTTTTGAGTAATCTAGTGGAGAACTCGATTACTAGTGGAGTACTACATTTCTAGTGGAGAACTTAATTTCTAGTGTAGAACTTGATTTCTAGTGGAGAATTAGATTTTTTGTGGAGAACCTGATTTCTACTTGAGAACTTAATTTCTAGTGGAGAACTTGATTTCTATTGGAGTACTACATTTTTACTGGATTCCTTGATTCCAGTGATTCCTAGTGAAGAACTACATTTCTAGTAGATAAATGTATGTTTAGTGGCGAAATAGATTTCTAGCGGAGAACTAGATTTCTAGTGGAGAACTAGTATTGAACTATTTTTTAGTTAGATAGAATTCTTTATAAGTTCTTAATGAATAACCATATTTTTTTATGGTGATTGATAAAATCCGATTGAAGTACTTACACTCAATAATAACTGTAATCACATGAGTGATCTACTTACTTCATTCAAATATGATATTAAGTCAGGTAAAATTATAATATATTTTAAAGTCCTGTTGAAATATAGATTGCACTTGTTTTAAAAGTGCATTATGCGGAGTTAGTGGGAGGATCAAAAGAATCAAACAATTACATAGCTTAACCTTTGATTTTTTTTTCTACGTCATCGATTTATAAGTCCTTATTTTTTATACTGTAAAATAAAATACAAAATATTTTTTATTTTTATAATAAAACAATTATATTATTATTACAGTTGAATATTCTTTATCTGTATATTTTTTAAATATAATAAAATAAAATTCTGTTAAGTTTGCAGTTTATTTATAGGGGACATAAGACATATAACCATTAAGTAGTTTGGGTTTAATTAATTGTTTATAAAGCGAGTATTATTAGTCACATTCGACATAAGTATTATATTATTAAAATTATTCAATGTTATGTTGCTAGTCATAGTCAGTTTTTATCCTTATCTCTCTAGTCTTGTCAAAAGCTAACCCTAGGTATTTCATAAGATCTTTCCAATCTATTTCAAAATGATTTACTTCGGGTTTTGAATTCTTTGTCTTATAATATATACTGGTTTCATTACTTTCAGTACTTATCTTAATTTTCTTCTACCACCTTCTGCAGTAGCATTATCTCTTTAATATGTAGTTGAAGGTTATTTATTTATTTGTGTATACTCGTACTTGGATTTTAATACTTATCAAATTACGAGGGCTTTTTAAATATTACTATTATTATTATTAGTACATCCTAAACGAATTTAGAATAACGGGTGCAACACTACATAAAGTAATAATTTTATATGCAATCCGTGAACAACATTTCATTACAAATGATGTCATTATAATGCAATATTATTGCAGCAAATTATGATTGTTTAGTCATAATTGAAAGTATTAGTCAAAGAATTGCAGTAATGTTTTTACAAGCGCACCAAGGTACCCGATAAGAATTAAAATAATAATTTAGTTGCCTAATCAATAAGAAAAATATAAATTTTTATGAAATATTGTTGGTAAATAATATGATAAACAGAATGCGTTAGCTATAAAAGACTTTGACCATCGATGAACGATAACAGTTTGTTTGGAAACTTCAAGAAATAAACAAGTGTAAATCTAAAAAAAAAATCATTTCCATATAAAAGTGAACAAAGATATTAATTATGAGTGGTGCAAGTGCAATAATGAATTTCACTCCATCGGATGTAGATCCTGAGAGGAATATGTCTGTTCAAGTGAACACAGAACCTCACGGTTCACATCCGAAAGAACAAAAATATAATTACAATTTTGGCTTTCGGAAAATTGGTGCGTATATATACTAGGTAAAGATATAAAATAATCTGTTTCTGAGATTTGGTTTTTACTTAGGTGATAAATTAATCGAAACTAAGGAGAACTCATATCAGTGGCATATGCCACATAATGTTGAATTGAAATTGATTTTCACTGCTGAACCCGAACACACTTTATCGCATATTGATATAAAATTGGATCAAACTTCTACTGATCATGATGCAAAAATTATTGGCGGTGGAATTGGTAAAAATTATATTGAAGTTATGGTAACTGCTCGGAATACTTATTGGTTTAAGTACGAAGCACGTGCTTTTCAACGTACATCATTATTGCATGTATTTTTAGATAAAACTGGTAAATGAAGAAAAACTGAAATTGATTACCTACCGACTATATGGGAACACAGCGATGGAAACTACTTTGATATAAAAAAAGAAAAAGATTAAAAAAAAAAATATCTCATATTTTTATAATTTTACTCATTTTTTAATAATTTTTTTATATATTTTTTAATTTAAATAAAAATATTATTTTTTGCATGCAATTAAATATTTATATTTTTATTAACATTGGCAAAATATTACAAATTATTTTAGAAAAACAAAAATATTTTTTTTTATTTTTCTTAGTAATAATTAATTATAATTCTTATCAAATCTATAATAAGACGTAATAACATATAATGAGTTTTGATCTTTCCTATAAAAAGTTTTATTGTGGTGATAATGATTGGTTCAAGTGTTATAATAAATTATTTTATATTAAATGCAGATCAAGAGGGAAATATGGCGGTTAAAGTGAAGGCGGAACCACATGTTTCGGTCATCTTTAACTAAGAGGAATCTTAAGGTCTTTGTGAACGCTTTTCTTTTACCGATTCAATCGACTCAAAATGCTTACCACGAAAGGAAAATTTGAGTTTCGGGAACAGGAAAAAGTCGCACGGATCCAGATCTGGCGAATATGGTGTCTGAGCGATGACAGTGGTACCGTGTTTGGACAAAAAATCGCTTACAAGAATTTTCCATAGTAAAAATCGCTAAATGCACTTCAGGTAGTTTCACATTAACAGCTACTGTAAACAAACAAATTGGCAGATGGCGCTCAAATTTGTACCATATGTACCATAAGAAAGGGTGTACCAACATAACAAAAAGAAATTTTTAAAAAAGGTCTGTTACTTAGGGAGTAGTTAACAAACAACAAAATCCGGATACTTTTCGAGCGGAAGGTATATAACTTTATACTCTAATGATGTTAGTTCACTGTTACTTAAATGTGGGACTTGTGCCTTTTTCAACTTTGTCTATGTGAAGACCAATTTAGCCTTTAAATCTTATTTGGTCTTCCTCCTCCATATACCAGACATATGAACAACGTTAATTTATGTTATTAATACAACGGACCATTATTTGTGCGTAATTTTAGAGAAGTTTTATTTGTTTGTTATAATGAATGTTAATGAAGACAAGGTCCACGATATGTGTGAGAGTGAAAAAGAAATAATTTAGAAATCAAAATATATTTATCAGGAATGTGAAAAAATTTATAGTATTAATTAATGTACATTTGATAAGAGTTATAGTCTCTTAGTGTTCTGTAAGCTAAGTTATATGTATAATATAATATTAAAGCTCAGTTAATATATAATAATAAAAAATTTATAAATAATAATAATATTAGTTTATTTCAAATATTTGACAGAATATCGAAGAACTATTTTCCGAAAAAATACTTTATAACACCTTATATATATATATATATAACTGATACTATATGTCAGAAAACATCTACAAAAAAGCAATTGGTAGTTATTGTAGCTGCACATAATCCCAACTTGTTTGTTTGATATAGAGCATATCTATATTTAGATAAGTACACTAAGTAGTGTCTCTATATCAAAGATTTTCTATATAGGTACCAGTAGGATACCAGTCGATTGATGTTAAAAACTTTCACATCAACGGGCTGCTCATAGTAAAACGGTTAAAAAACTTATTATATTTTATTTCTACTAATAAAATTTACAGTAGAATAAGAAATTTACAGAAGATAACTATATATATATATATCATAAAGAGGTTTTTCGAACAGTAGTGAACTACAACAACAAAAATTTTTTTTTATATTATTTTAATTAATTGAATTTTTGGCTGACCATACAGCTGTTTCGAGTATTGCCAAATACCCATCATCAGTGGTCTTGGTGAGAATTCTTGTCTTTAATTATTCGTAAATAATTATTTTTGAGACTATATATATATATATATGGAATCTAAACAACCACTCTTTTAGTAAGAATCTTGAATCACACCTTAGGTACATGTTATATTATATTTTAAATACTTTAAATGCTCTTTTATATTTCATACAGTCCATTATTATTATATTTTATATAATTTTTATAATAATTATTTTTTAATCTGTTTGAAATATTTCCGATATAAAATTGAAATTAATGATTATTCAAGACAAGCAAAATGATTCTGTTCCATTATTCTTATTTGGAACACAAGCAAGCTGTTGCGAAATCTCTTTAGAGTGACATCTCTTTTATTACTCTTAAGTTTGAGATTTGTTTTTGGTGAATTATTCTAATGAATATTTTTTAAGAACAAGTATTATAATTTTTGACTCAATATCGAGTTGTTTCTAAAGTTAATTGTTTAAATCGTCGTACTCAGAGGTTAACGATCTTCTTCATTGTTTCTGGGATTATAGAAAGAGCAAGTTATGATTAAGTTATGAATGAAATTAATTACAACCTACAAAAGTTGTGAATAAAATATCTTATTTTGTATTAATCTACAGTTTTTAGCGTGCATTTCAATTAATAAGAGCTCAAAAAAAGCTTTGTCTCTCTTGAAGCCTAGGGTAACTTATTATCTGTCCACCAAAGTAACCTTCATAAAATTAGGTGAAGATACACTAAATATGAGTGTATCTCAAAGCTGACAGTATATGAAAATATCTCAAATTAGTAATAACATTTTAGCAAGTTTAACGTGTTTTTAAATTAAAACTTTGTATAGTTTATGCTTTATTGAAACAAACAAACAAACAAATTTAGTTTACTATAAGCCATCATAGGGCAAAGAGTTAAAAACAATGAAACAAGTAAGTTCGACTTAAATATGAAATTCTTTTTATAAACAAATGAATTATTTTATATTTATATTAAATTTTATTAAAATTAATAAATTACTATAGCAGAATTTATATAATCTAACTATAATCGGACTGATTCTATGCGGAATTGGTACAATATTGGCAGATATAAAAGTTTTACACAAAAAAGAGTAAGTTATCAAATATGTTTGCAATGTATATAAATAAATAAAATATTATATAGAATTTTTATAAATTTTATTGAAAATTTTTTTTTGAAATATATATAAATGAATTTATAATATAAATTTGATATTTTTATAAATTGTTTGCAGAGAATATGGTGACTTCAAACAGATATCGTTATCGACGGATGCAGATACGCCGAATGGAGAACTCATCATTAATGGAGAATATATAATAAATTTTAACGATCGAAAATTACCACCAGGAAAGAAATATAAATTAGTAGTTGATTATAATGCAGATAAAAATGGTAATAGAGCAAATTATACACTAACACTAGTAGATGATATACAATTTTTACCACCATCTGTACTTAAAGCTGCTGCTGGTTAATGTTAACAAAAATCTGTGTGTAATCAAAATTTATAAAGAGTGTGAAAAAAACATTGTTTAAATATTATATTTATAAAACAATAAATATTTTTTTTATTAAACAAATGAATCAAAAATATGAATTTGAATATTACTGGTCAAACATGTAAGGTGTGTTTTAATTAGTAGATTTTTTATTGGATATCTAAAATTGGCACAATGACATTTAGATCTCATGACCTCTAAGCCGGACAAAAATAGTAAAGATTCAAAGTATATATTTATATATAGAGTTCCTTGAATTTTGGTGTTTAAATTTTTTTAAAAATATTTCAAGAATTTATTAAATAATAAAAAAAAGTCCTAAGTCCAAATAAATCAAAAATTCAAAATATTACACGTAAGAATGTAAATACATGAACGAAAACAAAAAATAATAAATAAAAATAATAAATAAAAAAAAATATATAATAAATAAAAGAAATGCTTATTGAAATAAATAAATTTTAAAAAATTAAATTTGGTAATAATAATAAGTTTAATACACAATATATATTTTTTAATATTTTTTATATAGTTGAAACAGTTTAAAATCTAACTAACAAAAATTAAGTCATATAGAAACAGAATTTCGAAAATAGCATTCCATCAAGTCTTCTAGCTTACAATTCTGTGGTGATCTCGAAATCAAATTACTTGATGGCTCGATAATGGATATGTATAGCAAGTTGCTGTGCGCTGAAATCAAAATACTGAAATTCTCCTTGCTTTATAATAATAATGAACCTCTGTTATTTTATAAATTTCGTGTAGGATCGTATGATACAAGATATGTACTCCCTATTTATGCGCAGTGCAGGGCGCATAAATATGGGAGCTGATCTTGTATTTACCGGTTTGGATCAGCATTTAAGTTACAAATTGGAACTGTATTGTTACCAGTATACAATATGGAAATTTTTCTATTTGCAATTATTCCATAGAGGTATTTTTTAGTTAAATAAAAATAGATTAACTTTATTTGGATAATTAAGAAAAAAAAGAGAGGGAAGCGTGATATAATTGAAGATGGAATGAAAATGATGTAAGATATAAGTATATCACTTAAGATCAACCATCATAAATTTTTGGTTATTTGTTGAGTTAATTCAAATGCATCGGATACATTTATTAGAAAACTAAGATTTATGTATATCATACATTCAAATTAATGTTAATGTTTTAGCTAATTTAACATGTTTTGGTACTTAACTTTAGAGGATCTTGTATTTTATTGAAAAAATAAATATTTAATCTTGCATTAGTCAAGATGGGAAAGAAAGTTGACAAAAATGACACGAGTAAATGTTTAAGATAATGGAATTAATTATATCGATATTGGAAAAATTGTAGCGGATCTAAAAGTTTTGTTCAAGAAAAGGCAATTAATGCATATAAATTAACTAAATATTTACAAAAATTTCACTTAAATTTTAATTTTTCAGTGTTGAACAAGAGTTAAGACAGAAAACGCTACAAACAGTTGCTCATATATTTGCTTACAGGTTGATAAATGACAAATTTCTTTGATAAAAAATTACCACCATGACAAAAATACACATAATGATGCTTTCGATTAGTAAATCTGGAATTAATCTAGATTTACGCGGAATCGGGAAAATTTTGTTGCCAAATCAAATGATTTTAGAGTAATTTAACAGTTTA